TTTTCACTGATGCTCAGTTAGAGGACCAAAGGCAATGGGCATAAACTGAAGCACAACAGGGTTCTATATGAGCATTAGGAAACACTTTTTTACTGTGAGGTTGACTGAGTACTGGTATTAGTGTCCCAGGGAGGCGGTGGAGTCTCCAGCCTTGGAGATATTCGGAAGTCAATGGGCATGGTCGTGGTTACTACATGACCCTGATGTAGCGGGGAGTTGGACTAGATGGTCCAGAACCCCCGGTCTGGCTTATTCATAAAGACAGTATCTTTACTGATCAACTGAAGGAAGTCTATTTAAACAACCAGTTGATCCACTTAACTGATGTAGTCACCTGATCCACTGATGTTGTTTTTTATCTAAAACAAAGGCTACTCTGGTCCTCTGTGTATTCAGATAAATTCAGCTTTCTTTTCCTTTCAGCAACACTCAGTCACTGATGAGTCATGTTCTTCCCTGAGCTTGCCCTGAGAGTGGTCATTGCCAAGCTCCTCTAAGAGTTCTCCCATTGTGGAAATTTGTTGATTGATCAAAATAGTTCCAGTAAGTATGCTCTGGATAAAAGTTTATTTTACGATAGTTTAGACCTTTGAGACTACGAAGGAAATAGCTAAAGGGAGAAACACCTGAAAAGCAAATGTTAAAACATATTGTAAAGATGTATTCATTTTTGAGTAGAGTGTAGATTTAAATACAAAAACAAAGAAATTGGCAAAACAAAACTTCATGACATTTATTATTATGTTCTGCTAACATTTTTCTAGAATCTCATATGTGAATACAACAGATATAAACAGTTTCATTTTTTTTTCATACTGGAAAAATTTTCTTTTGCATCTAACAATGATTTACAACAAGACTAGGAGACTTAAAGCCATGGTATAAATTTTGTCATGTGTAAAAATTATAGTTTAGGACTGAAATGAGTTCCCCATTAAAACCTGGTAAATGGTAACTTTATTTGTGGGCTCCATTTTTATAACTTTATACAACCCTACATATGACAGAGGAACCCAGGAAAATTATTCATCTTCTGTTTATGAACTAGATTACAATGAAAAATTACTCAATCTACTTTCAGGTTTCTAAAATCTGTTTTCACCATTTTTTCCACCTCCTGCTAGGTAGAAATATTTAAATAATTACAAAAATTATGATTTTGAAAGTCAAAAAAACAGAGTAATGCAGAAAGTCACACAGTTGCTTTAGAAATTTCCTGGTTTAGCCCATGTCTTCACTAGAGATTGAGTCTATGTTTGAAATAGAATGGGATGTTTGTCCTTAAGACGTCCCACCTCCTTTTGTGTATTAAACTTTTTGATGTTGAAGTTTTTATAAACTGCTTTCATTATCCACTATGTACATCTGATAAACATCAAGTCAGAAGTCTTTGGAGATTTCTGATCATTATTACTCTCCTATTAGTCATGTCATGTTATCCATAATGCCTAGAGAGCAGAAAATAATTTGATTTAATGTTTCATTCAAAGGGCAAATCCTTCACTGGTATAACAGTCCCTAATGCAGGGCAGATATTAGCTGATGTAAAATGGCCAGTTTATTGCATCCTGGAATGTAGATTTGTTTTGACCCTTTCAACCTGGAGGTGAAAGAATTTACTATTGATGGCCAGTTACAAAACTATTAGTACTAATAGTATTTTTGACATCCTTTTTTACTCTGATTAATAGTTATATATCCATGCAACTGCTTTGCCATCTACCCTCTGTTAGTTTTCTGAAAGGTTACTCATTTTTGCTCCATCACTGAGATATATATAAATAAATACAGTGCATTTTTTTTCATAATATTTTTCATAATTATTTCAGGGTTACCCTATTTCATTACATTTGTTCTCTAAATATGTGAAGAGTACAGGCTACAGAACCAGCAGATAAAGAATTCACTAATTTAAGGAGAGAAATGAAGTGACCTCAGATGTAGTTGTCATCAATATGGCTGCAACTGTGAGGTTTCTAAACTCTGAGATATTGATATTCACTTTAATGGAAACAGTGGAGGCACTCGGTAGAACAATTTATTAATGTTCTCTGAAATGCTCTATTCAATGAGATCATTCAGCAAAGTCCAGTGGATGCTAGTGATGTTTAAAGCTTTTGTATTGGAAAGTCTCAGATTTGACTACTAAAGTATATCCTTAACACTGGGAAGATAATTCATGACTCTGGCTTTGGTGAAATTATTTACATTCCAAAAAAGCAGCAAATAATTTCCACATTGGATTCACAGTTATGATAGTTTAAAAGGTTCCCATGCCAGAACTGTATCAAATAAAGAACTGGAAATTCATAAAAAGTTGAAATACCATTTTATTTCATGTGTGGTAGAATGTCCCATTTCTTTGAGTCGAAGAAGTGCTAGTGTGATTAGTCATTTTGTCCATCTCATGTGCAACACATCAACAACTAAGAACCAGCACTTGGAATTCCAGTTTAAACAGTGAGACATTATCCTACATGTGCTAAGTTCTCATGTGCAGGAAAAAGTACCTTTAATAAACAACAGTTTCAACAGAGTTCAAAACTACTACTGTCAAGATAGAGCACATAAGTAGTTCATAATATTCCTTCAATGTCATTAACATTTTTAAGGGGACTGAATCTAAATAACTATATTTTAGTTAGCTTACATCCTTAAATGACAACTGTGTTAACCTTGACTTACCAATTTTTATCGCGAATTCCATATCTACCATCTCTCCATCATCCAGTTCTGACATGCTCCTGCATCGGTCCCAGCTGCAGCTTCCTTGCTATTAATTTAGACACCAGAGGCATCATGAGATGATAAACTACAAGCTGCTCCTACAAACTACTACATATCTCACAGATCAGAAAAGCCAGTAAACACCTGAAAAAAAGCCCATAAAAACCGCTGTGATATACAACTGGGCCATTAAAGATTTGCTTGATATACCCACTTCATCTGAGTAAAAGAAAACTGCACCACCAAACTATTTTCCAAACTGCATCTTTGAATGACCTCTGAAAGAAATATATGAAAATTTAGCACAAAAATCAAAAAGTGTCGCTGATAGTACACCCCTAGTAATCACATACCATCATAAGCTAAAACAAAAGCTAAGAGTTATTAAAGAAATGTTATTTGTACCTTGAAATACATGCTCAAGATTCCCCTATTACTTTTCAAATGGCACCCTCCTAGAGTAAAATGTAAGTCCTTCAGAGGTATCTAGATGGGTGAAGTTGAACAACTACAATACACTGAAGTGAGCTCAAACAGACCTCTGATAAAGAATAAACCAAATAATTACCCCTAGGTGAACAATAGTTTTCACAAGACTACCACTTACCCAGATCTCACACTACAGATTCTTAAGGGACAGCTTCAAAGCTCCTTTCCAATTGCACAAATGAATTGAATATCCTCAGTCATGGACTCAGGATATAAGAACTTCTCTATGTTGTATTTGTCCCATCCCTGAAGTGTTGGAAGTAAAGTTGTTTGATGCCTATTTCTCTCTTGTATATAAATTTTACATGGTTTTCACCTGCTTTACTGTTACCCCCTGCATTACAGCTGCCTATTGTCCTTTCTACTCAACTGTTCTGTAGAAAAGCATCATATTGTACTTAAAGCAACTATCCTAAACCTTTTGGTCCCTCTAAAAGTTGCTGCTTCTATTACAAAGCAGACTACGAGCATGTCAACCTAGGAGGTCACCTTGTTCTTTTTTTTCCCCAATTATACAAATTGATCTAATACAGGATCTGTTTAATCTGTTTTCTCATACTCTCAAATACAAATCACAGTGTGACTCTGAATGGCATATGTCATTTTAAAGATAAGCATGCTTAATTCCTAATATTTACTGTTTCCAGAATATAGAAAGCTCTAGTCTTTGTCTATATGGACTTTGGCTGGTAGCTATCATTCTCTATCTTGTCTTAACCATGGACTATATTGCTAGTAAAAATTAAGTCAGCTTCTTGGGAATTCCATACCTCCACAAAATTGGTCTTAATCTATCAATTTTAACATAGAATTTTGACAAGAATAAGCCTCAGTGTCCAAATATTTCGGTCTAATTCTTCTGTCTTCTCACTATGCTTCTGCTGATATTTTATTTTTAGAACATTTTTTTCCTTAATGTAAATTATTCTGTTGTTATTTTGGGGCTGAGAATTGGATAAAACCATAAGAAAGCTGCTGAGTAAAACATTTGGCCTCTTTAATGACAAATTTAAATTAAAACAAACAAACAAACAAACAATCAAACAAACAAAACCAAAAAAACAACATCAAATTACTTTTGTGAGAAAATAGAACAATAGGCATTAATGCACAAAACAGAGTCTATAAACTAAGAGATAACAGAACATGAGCTTTGTTATCCAAGTAATTTCACAGATCTTCAATGCAATTAAGGTTAGCATTTGATTGGTTTTGTGGTATCTGTGTACACACTGGTTTTCAAACAGCAGGAACAAACAGACAAGCATTTGGGTTTGTTTCCATGGGGAAGTTTAGGGACAGAATAATTCTGGCTAAACTAGTGATTGGAAGAAGGCTTGCATCTTATTCCTAAAATATTGTGCAATGCTCTGCTGAAAATAACCTCTGAAAATGTGGAATATCACCACATAACTACTCTTAAGTGAAATATTTAAGATCCTTCTATCTAGAGTCATATAAGTTATGTTATTTTGGTTCCCATCACAGTTGGATTTGAGATGAAGTATTGTCATGAAGGGCTTGTGAGATGGCTAAGTTTATATCTTCTATTTTTGAGAAATAATATGAAAATGATATTGGCATTCCATATGAATGAATTACTCAGGATAATAGGAACTTATGTTCCAAACCCAATTTATTTTTTTGTCTTTTCATAGAATACCAAAATAAGATGATGTCATATTTTCAGAACAGCACTAGCTATCCTTCAACATTTAAAGAAGCACCACAATGAGTGTTCAAGGCACGTGAAAAAAATCTGTATCTCTGATGTCTCCTCAAATACATTTTTTCCTGTGATTTATGCTTCCAGATTTCCATGAATTTTACTATGTGAACCATCCATAAGTCTGTGATGGTTGTTGGTACTTTGGGCATCATGCAGACAGAGGTACAGCAATGGTTTGAATCTCTGTGGACAAAAAAAAAAAAAAAAAAAAAAAAAA